CCAGGGCAGGAGCATCACAGAAGAAGGATATGTTAAAGTGCTCTCTTATTGATGGCAGGAGAGCAGATAAGGACAACAGAGAGAGAGAGAAAGGTGCCAGGAAGCATAATTTACATAGTACTCATGGTCATGCCTCCATGATCTATAGACACACACCCAGTATGCTTTATTAATCAATTTGACATTGGGTGACCTTCCTTTTAGATAATACAAAAATAATTCTCTGCTAAATATTGGAACATCAATCCTCATTTGGGAGACATTTGACCATAATAGTAGGTAATATTCCATTCTTCATTTTAAAAATCCTCCACTGTTGCTCCCACAGTACTACCTGAACTTCTTTATGGGACCACCAAGACATGGCATGACCTACCATTGTTTCACTGATCCCACTCTTCGCTATGCTCCACTCATATGAACACAAACGAACTAGATGGTACTGAAACAACCAGATAAATACTGAAAGGCTTTGGAACTAGGTTACAAGTAGAGGCTGGACTGCGGTGTTGTTTCATCTGTGCTGCAGGGAAACGTCAAATTTGTTGAAGATTATTTGAGTGTTTATGATCACTATTTTGGAAGAAATATGGATCACAACGGCAGTTTTTAATGAGATCTTAGAAAAAAATGAGAAACTAGGAAAGTAAAGGAAAGATTATTTGTTGCAAAGTGACAAAAAATAACTAAATTGTGTCTCTGTTATGTTTATAGAAGGTAAGATTTAAGAATGTACTTATAAAAATCTAAGCAAGGTATTGAGGGTGCAGCATGGTTTCTCTTGCCTGCTTATGGTAAAAATATGCAAAGAGAGAAACAAATCAAAGCTAGAATTTATGAGCAAAAGGAGTCAAAACTTTAGTTTTGGAATAATGACCCATTAGGCTTTTCTCAGAGCTCTGTGGTTGCCATTCCCATCACAGGCCAAGTGCCAAGTGTTTTAGAGCAAAATATGTTCAAGAAAAAGGTCTGTGATAACACGGGGCTTTTTGCATAAGAGTACCTAGGTTCTTTGCAGCATTCCCTGGCTGCCTCACCTCTGGTTTATGTGGGCTCAAGTGAGACTTGGGCTGTTCCTCCTGAAGATATAGCCACAAAGTATGCTAACTGTGCAGGTGTGCAGAGGCTTAGCTGTAGATATGTGGATTACACTTCTATTTAGATTTTTAAGATCTGGAGAGTCTCAGGGCCCAAGAAGGCACATGCAACCAGGAATGGACCACCACAGGGTCTCCCAGTTAGGAAAATGCTGGGACTAACATAGAGATATGTACAGCTCTGAAATATCCCTACAAGATAGATGAAATGCAATGTCTTAATGCTAAAGAATCAGAATCCAGTCAGGAATGAATTGCCATTTGTAGGCAAGTTGACTTCAAATCAAGTATGTTTTCCAAATTTAGACAGGTTCCAAAGCCGGTAAAATTTTAATACACTTCTGACCATATAAATATTAAAAGTAGATTGAAAGTTAACTCAAATATATATTGTAGAGGAGATAACTTCAGAGATCTCTGGCTGATTAGCTCTGTGGATGACCATCCTATGCTCTCTAAGAATAAAACTTGAGCTGTGAGTACAAGTTCCATATTATTTAGTCTGAATTCATGGTCTAAATTTTTGCTACCTTTTTTTTCCTGCAGCTTGTTGCAATTCGAAAGTAGAAAACTAAAACAAAAAATCACTGTCACTATACTCAGATGTACGTCAAACTTCTGTAGTTAGAATGATCTCAGTTTGCAAGTTTGATCTTCTTACCCCAATGGGAGAATCAGTCCTCATTTTAAGGAATTTTATGTCATGCAAAATCACAGTACAGAAATTTAAATTTGTCAAAATTTGAACCACTTCCCTATATTTGGGAAGCACTCATCATTGTCAACTCATAGTTTTTGCTGTTTTGATGTTCTACAATGATTCTATTGTAGGAAATGGTGCATGTGTTCATTGGCCTGGATTAGATCACAACCCTCACAGCAAACCTGTAAATTTGATGCTATTCTTAGCTGAAACTATACTCCTGACAAGTGAGGAAATGAAAACACACATAGGATCATTCCTAAAAGAAACAAGGTCAAGTGCAAGAATGTTCTTCTCAGAAAGTCCAGGAATAAGTTCATAGTGTGTGGGGGATGAACGGTAGATTAGCAGGAGGGGAGGCAACATGTGTGCACCCTCTGGCACACTGCAGCAGCATAGAAATCTAACTGTACCCTGACACATTTTCACTCATATCTCCCCAACTCACGATAAGATTTTCTAATTGAGTTATTAGTAATTACTCCTGCTAGGAACTCCAGAACTATAGACTTTTTGTTTATTTTTGTGGGCACATCCAGTTAAAATCTTAATGGCTTGGTTGCAGAGGGTAGCTAACTGGATAGCAGAAACCAGAAAGTGATTTTTTTTGCCCAATTTAAATTCGTGTGTGTGTGTGTGTGTGTGTGTGTGTGTGTGTATAGACAACCTTGTCTCTACTTCCATTTATTCTTTCCTCAGATCAGAGTCTTTAAAGCACTGGCTTCTTGGTACTTTATATTTCTTCCCTCCTCCTCACCCTTAACCACAGATAACCTGCATTGAACATCTTTCTCAAAAATAAAATACAAAATAAAATAAAGCTCCAGATGAGCATGATTCAAATCATTTTTGCTAAACTGAAGGAAGTAGGAACAGTATAGATCTGTGATGATTTTACTTTAACACAGTTCTATAATTCTATGCAGAAGAGAGAGAATACGAGTAATCCATACAAGGCTTTCACAAAATGTGAATATTTAAATTGTATTTTCTACCAAATGATATGACGATTAATTCCACTCAAAATATTTACTGTAGGGGCTGGGGATTTAGCTCAGCGGCATAAGTGCTTGCCTTGCAAGCAGGCAGTCGTGAGTTCGATCCCTGGTACCGATAAAAAGGAAAAAGGCAAAAAGAAATTTACTGTACTTTCAAACACAATTAGTTTACTATTTTTGCCACTTTATTGAAGCAGTGCTAGAAATCTCTTTTGTATCATCATGAGAGTTGATCAAAAATACTGTGAATGGTGGTGATGATTGCCACCTAAGTAAAGACAGACTTTAAAAACTTTGATGTGTTCATCCATCTTATTCACCACATTTGGCCCCACGAAATACCTGGCCTATCCTCAAAGCCAAAATGACCACAAAAAAGTAAATGTTTTGAGTTGATTGAGAACACTGTGGCAGCCTTGGAAATGCAACTAAATACACGGAAAAGAACTTCCATGACTGCTTCAAAAAATGGTGAGAATAATGGAATACATATGTTCAAATCAAGAGGAAATAATTTGATGAGATTAGTGACAAGGTGTCTTTTACTTTAACATTTTTTAATCATTCAAATTTTTTACTGTTTGTTCAGTTTTGCTTCATTTATTACTTAATGTTAAAATCATGCACATACTTGAGGGTGAAAAAGAAAATACTCCAGGTTTCAACTTTGTCAAAATGCAGATTTTTAAAATTAACTGAACATTTAGGTAAGTTAAAAAAAAAAAAAAAACTAACATTGCACAGACAGTATCTATCAAATCTGAAAATTGTTGAAGAGTATTTAACTAGAATATGTAACTTTTGGTTTAACACAGTATTATTTCTTTTGGGGTACTGAGGATTGAACCCAGGGCCTCATGCATGGTAGGCTAAGGGCTGTATCACTGAGCGATGTTCTCACTCTTAGAAAGATTGTTACTGAACTTGGTGACATCTTTCCATAGCCAAACAAGTGAAACAGTGGAGACAAAATAATTTCTTGAATAACTGTTAATGTTAACTGCTTTCTTTTTTTTTTAAAGGGAATAAAACAAAAGGAACAAAACACAAGAACAATATTGGATTTCAAAAACAAGAAAGAAATTGCCCATCGTTGTTATATTGTACATTGTTGTCTTCTACATAGATGCTCCAACTACCAGCTTTAGTCCTGCAAAGTCAAACAATACAAGCATTGTTTTTGTATTTCTGTTGCTATTATCTCAACCTGTGTTTCTCTAAATCAGCCAACTGCTGGTGTGGGGAGGGGGTGCTCTTCCTGTCTCCCACCCCTTGTGCTAACTGACTCACATGATGGTGTGGGTTGGCTTATTGGTTCTCCTTCTGGCCCTCCTGGCTACTGCTAGCTCAGTGTTAACTGCTTCCATATGTGGTTCATGAATCCTGACTTAAAACAACTTCGAAAAACTGTTATTTTACTATTGCTTTAATTCTATTATCTTTTCAATTCTTTATCTTTCAGTTACAGTTCCAGTGCTTGAATTTCCCCTTTCAAACAGCTGTATTGTTAATGAATCCTGACTTTCATCCTATTTGGTTAATCTGTTTAAAGAGGCTTACATTTATCCTGGGGTTCTTAGTCTTTCTGAATTGAAAACCAAATTACTCTGCATTAAACAGAACAAAATTATACTCTAGAGGCCTGTACCAGATGATAAAGTTTCCTAATAAAATTGAGGAAGGATTGAACCTTGGCCCAGCTAGCTCTGTATATTTAACCAAAGCGTCATATTTTAAGGCTGACTAGCAGTTGAAAAAGATTTATTCCATTCTGAGGGATTCTTCTCACTGGTATTTTAAAACAAGTATGGTTGAGTAAGAATGGTAATATATAAAGAAAGAGGTTGCTCAATGCTATATTTACACACTATTCACTATGTGTTTATTTCTGATAATCTTATAGTTATCAGAAATGGGATTGCCTTTCATTTTTTACTTTTTTTAAGAGCAGAAGAAATTACTGTGAAAGAAAGTTTCTGAGAGGGACAGGAGGGGGCCCAGAAGTTGGGTTGCCCTTTATTGCTATAACTTAATCAATCAGTATTAAAGTCTATAATATGAACAAGTATGTTTCTTTTCCAATTAATTGACATCTGAGAATTTCCTCACGATTTTCTAGAATTATTAGAATACAGGAACAAAATAGTTCATGTGTAAATAATAATTTCAAAAATCATATCAATAATAAGATTTTAGAGAAAATGAGTCTTTATAACATTTATTTATTAGTACATGTGTGCAGTACATAATGATTACATTTGTCATGAAGAGTTGGTACATGTATACATCTTTCTTTTTTAAAATTTTCTACTCCTCTCCTCCCTTTGGCTCCCTCCAACTCTTGGTTCCATACCCATTTGCAAAAGCTCTATTTTCATCACGATTTTCCCCTTTCAATTTTTTTCCCATCCCTTTCCCTCCATTCTCTCAATAAACCGCCTCCCCCATCCATTTGAAAAAGATCTCCCTAGTTGAAGAGAAAGTGAGTCTTTTTAGTGTTTTCTTAGCAATAAATCATACCTTTGTTCACTGAAAACATTTAAAATAGGATATTTATTGTTTTTTATGAAAATTACTTTGAGTTGTAGATTAGTTAACAGAAATATTTAAATGCACTATGATTTCTTAAAGAGGTAAATACCTTTTACTTTTCCTTAATAATATCCATATTCAGTAATATTAGACAATAATAGCAAAGGAAATAGAAACTGGTTTTGTGAAAGCTTCTGAATAGATAGTATTTTTTAAAATAGCATTTTGTTTTTAATATGAAATAAACTTTATCAAAAGAAATTCAGTCATTTAGTTGTTTATTAAAGTTTAATAAAGCTTTGGTTGTGGTATGAAATAGAAAATAGCACACTGATTAAATACAAACAATTTTTATAGGAAATTTTCCTTTCTTTTTTTTTTTTTTCTTTTTTCTTTTTCCTTTTTATTGGTACTGGGGATCGAACTCATCACTGCCCTCTTGCAAGGCAGACGCTTATGCCACTGGGCTAAATCCCCAGCCCCTGGAAATTTTCCTTTCTAAATATAAAATCTCATATACACCTTATCTCAGATTCACAGTGAATATCTAAAAATGTAAAAATATATAATATTTATATGACACAGATACAGAAAACAGACTATAACATGAAAGTGAAATCATACAACTGGATCTACCAGCGTCACACTTTAAATCATACAGACACCAACACAAGAAGAAAAGATTTACTTTTTATAGTCTCATCCAATGTGCATACTTCAGATTTTCTGAGGACACGTTCATGAATCTACTACCATACTCCTGATCTTTGGTTCTGGTTGTCAGTATGTTCAAAAAACATGAAGTCCTGGTTAGAAAAAAAAAGTACAGAAATAAATTTTTCCAGTAAAATAGAGAGCAATTCTCAGATAAAGAAAGCAAATAGTACAGAGGACACACAACAACACACCTGTTACACACAGATTAAATATGATAGGCAAATCTGGGAAAAGTTTATATCTATGCAATTTGCTTTGCCTTTTCATTTTTCTCCCTTTTCATATTTTCCCCCTTTCTTTTCTTTTCTTTTTCATTTTTTTGGGTATTTTTGTTTTGTTTTGTTTTTCTGAGACAGGGTCTCATTATGTAGCTCAGGCTGGCCTTGAACTCACTAAGGACAGAATGGCCTTGAAGTCACCGTGATCCTCTTGCCTCAGCCTCTCGTGCTATTATTACAGGCATGTGCTACCATATGCAATCACCTTTTCATTATAAGAACAATTAAGTTTCATTACTGTATCTTGTAGGAATTTAATCACCTGTTAACTTCTCTAATAACACTTTTTTGATATACTTTGAAATCTTTCTCTTCCATTCTTTTTCCTTAATTTTTGGTGGACCTTCTCTAGTCATACAGCTTCTCTAGTGACAGGAGTTCCAGGTACAGCTTTAGCTAGTTTTTCAGGATGATGACAGCCAAAGAACTTTTTGTTTTAGGATCATCCATTCTTTCACAAACCTATCAAGTGTAACCACAGTATTTCACTCCATCACTGTATATAACTAGACCCTGCCTTCCCTCTATGCCATAAGGAAAAATCCTATGCATCTTATTTCTTTTGCATTTATTATGTTATTAAATCTCTACAAAGGTAATAATGTAACTTTTTCTCCAATAACTTGCATTATACTAGTCAGTTTAATCTTCCTCCAATCCATTTCCCGCATTCTCACTACGATTTAATTGACTAAAATTCGAATTTAATCTTATTTTATTTTACCTAGTTTTAAACCAATTAATTAAAAAATTTCCAATGAGTTAATGTGTGTCTAGAAAAAGGTGTATAATATTTAAACATTAAAAAAATTTTTTTTTGTTTTAACTGACACATAAAAATTGTATGCAACTATGTGTTACCATGTGCTGTTTTAATACAGGTATACATTGTGCCATGCTTCAATCAGTTTAAACCTACTTGTCTCCTCAAATTTTTATCGTTTTTATGGATAAAAATATTCAAAATTCTTTTTTTGCTTTTTAGTAATACACATTACATTATTAGTGTGTACAGTTACTCTACTGTGTGATAGGATATCAGAACACATTTGTGTCCTCTTATTGTACTTTTAAAAGTTCTTCAAAGAAGACCATAAGTATAGCCCTTTCCCCTACTGCCACTTGCATTTTCCATCAATCTTACATTCTAGATGGCTTTCTTTCCTTAAATATGTAATATCCGTCCCATATCTTGACTTTGTTTAAACAGTTTCCTAAAATGTAGGATTAAATTTACTCTTTAGGTAAAAATAACATTTACTAAAGGTCCAATTTTTACATATAATTCTGAATATATTTAAACTTTATTACAGACAACATTAAGCATATACCAATTTAGAATAGCATAAAGCATGAAACATTTCATTTATTATTTCATCTATTATTCCGTTCACTAGATTTCGTTGTCCTTATTCCTATTATTTGAAAGTAAATCCATGAAATGAAATCATCATATAGCAAAGTACTTCAGTATGTGTCTCTAATAAATACAGATTTTCATGTTAATAATATTGTCATTATATCATTAATCATGAATTCATTTTATCAGACAGTTCTCAAGTCTCTCTGAATGGCTCAGAAATGTCTCTATAAATACCCTTGTTTGATTGTCATACCAGCATGATCTACAAACTGTACCTCTTTCAGTTTATCTTTGTTGTTTTATTTGCTTGGGCACTTAATGAAGAAAGTAGGATGGGTTCTTATTTCCTGTGTATTCTTACTTTTTCTAATTATATGCACAAATTAATATTTGACACATTCCTCTACTGTTTTAGACTTTGGCTGCACAATGCAAGCAATTATCTATAATTTCTGTAAGGATACAAGGCTGAGTTCCAATAATTCAGATTCTGATGTGACAGATTTGGGTATAAAGCAGCCAAGGAGAGTATGCAAAGCTACAAAGGTATTTCTATTGTGCAGCTAATGTCAAAGACCTCTGCTGTTACTGAAGTCCTCAAACTTTGCTAAATACTATTACCAACTAGGGTGCTATATAAATTTCTAATTGAGTTTCTGACTTAGTTGAAGTATATCTGGTACTCAGAGTTCTATTTTTTTTTATTAGTTACATCTTGATTATAAAACTTCGTGTGTTTCATTTTGGTATATTTGTACATGCATATAATATTCTTTGGTCATTTTCCATCTCATTATCTCTTGTCCCTAACTCCTCCCTCTCCCATTTCTTTCCTTTTCTGTCAGTTTCCTTTATACTTCGTTATCTCACTCTATCACCCATTCCTCTCCTCTCTGTCCTCCTTCTCCTATATTCTTCAAGAGAGAAAACAGGATATTTGACATTCTGAATCTAGCTGATTTCACTTAACATTCTGGTCTCCATTTTTTCCATTTTCTTTAAAATTACATGATTTTGTTCTTTTTTGGTACTTGGGGGTTTAAGAGTTTAGAATCTTGGGGCTGGGGATTTAGCTCAGCGGCATAAGTACCTGCCTTGGAAGCAGGCACTCGTGAGTTCAATTCCTGGTACCGATAAAAACGAAAAAGACTAAAAAAAAAAAAAAAAAAAAAAAAAAAAAAAACCAAAAAGAATTTAGAATCTTGGCTCTCTTTGACTATTTGTCTTAAACTAAGAGACCTGAGGACTTGATAGGTGTCTTAGTTTTATTTATACATTAGATAACAGTAAATCAGAACAGAATTTCCTTCTTTCACTGACATTCCACATATGCCCAGATTCAAAATCTTTCCCAAAGCACCAATTCTGTGTTTTCAAATAAATACTTTAAGATAAGCATAATAAATAAAATCCTTTTCTTGTGAAAATGCATATTCTTCAGACAGAAACTGGTTACCTGTGTATCCAGAGTGTCAGAATCAAGTGGCACTTCAGAACCAGGATTAAAAGGAATTTTCTACAAAATCCATTAATTAAAGAAGGCCATTTTGCAATACACAAACTATTGGTTCATTTCAGAATGATAACAGAGCAACAATATGTGACCAAGACAAATAAGAGTGAACTTACAATGAGGAAACATGCACCAAGCATCACAGTTTTCATTTTCACATCCAGGTCTAAAGGAAACTGAATCCCAAAGTTGTCAGCATCCGTGAATGCCTCTCTCACAAAACCCGACCACTGTTTGGAAATCTTGCCAACTACAGATTGCTCATCAAGAGATTTAACCTACATTGGAAAAGTAATCATAAAGATTTGTAGAAAACTTACACCAAAACTACTGTCAAAACTGGTGTGAAATAAACATTGCATTCAATTATGCCCATCTGTATCTATGACCAATAATCTCTCTGCTTCCATTAAGTATTTTTAGAATATAGTTGAATTTGGTTAACTGAAGTTATAAAGAGTGAAACTGAGGAAAAGAAGGTACTTTTGTATTAACTTTATTAATACTGTCTTAGTGTAATTGTTCTCTTTGAAGGAAGTAAAGCAGTCAGACCTTCTGAACGTGGTCTAGATCAATGCTTACAATGCAGATTAAGGAAGGATACACGAGATGAAGCATGAGATTTAGATAAAGCCAGCATTCTATCATGTTGTTTTTATATTATTGTGATATTATCATTGCACAGAGTTAGTTTGTAACCCAGGCCACTTCTGACTAACATAGCCTATTGGAACACCAGGAGGAGCCTGGATTTCTATCTACAATAGCAAAAGAACATAAATAAGTATAACAATACAAGGCCGGCTTTGTACTTGTGATTTAGCGTGCTTTGATCTCCTGAGTGTTGGTGTTCCATAGTTTCACTGGAAGTATGATGTTTAACTCCCACATATTTTTGTTTTCTTTTTCTTTTTTTTAAATCTATGACTACATAGTTTTCTTTACTTTTTGCATTTAGCAAAATCAATACTGAACTTTAATGAGATTAATGACTTAAGTTAAATACTTGAGTACATTATCTCTCTTTGAAACATAAATGAAAAACACTTAGTATATGTGTAACACACTATAATATTTTATTTTTTGGACTATAAGAAAGCAAATCTTGGGCTGAGGATTTAGCTCAGTGGCATAAGCATCTACCTTGCAAGCGCAAGGTCTGAGTTCAATTCCTGGTACCCCTCCACACCAAAAAAAAAAGTACAAGAAAGCAAATCTTATAAACATTATGATATTTCTTACCTCAAAATCAATATCCGAACAACAGCTACACACGATACATGGACCAATTATTTTTAGTACATCCTCTCTCCTCTCATTTTGAACAGTAAATTTAGGCAGACAGGGGTGCCACTTCTGACTAACATAGCCTATTGGAACACCAGGAGGAGCCTGGATTTCTATCTATAATAGCAAAAGAACATAAATAAGCATAACAATAATTATAATGTTTATGTTCAACAAAAAGGTGAAAGCTCTTCCTGAACTACTTTAGAAATTGCCATGGTAACTGCACACTGACCTCCTGGAGGCAGCAGGGGAAAAAACAGCTGCTACATCTCAGTGGCCTCTCCATAGTTACAACTTCTCGGCCCAAATTATCAAGAATTTTCAAGGTGAAGGGCCTCGCTGGTCCACAGCAGTTGCGAGTGCAGCAATCATTGTCTTCCACTGCAAAGTAAACCCTCTGTCCAAGGCTGTTCTTAATTTCATATTTATTATTAGTTTCAAAGCCGACTAAGACTGGAAACATAAAAGGGGAATCAATAATCACCGTTTTGTTAATAAAAATGAATCTTTTCTATGGTATGTAACATCTAGTTATACCAGTTTTGGATGATACTCCAAGCATCACATGAAAGGGAAATAAAAGGTCTTTTTGTTTTGGAAGTGATCAACATTGAGAAAAAAGTTAAATAAGGAGAAACTACTCTGGTAAAAACAAGTTGTGGGAGCTGGGGATTTAGCTCAGCAGCATAAGTGCCTGCCTTGCAAGCAGGGATCCCGGTACCAATAAAAAAAGAAAAAAAGACAAAGACAAAAACAAAAACAAAAAAACAAGTTGTGTCTCTGAATTCCACAGACTGCTGCAAAGCGGAACTTTTCTGCAGAAGATTGGTACCATGATGTAGATGGATGGAGCTGTCCTGGTATGTGGATAAATGTCCACTTTTATGGTACAGTTTTAATATGGTATAAAGGAATTACATAGGTAGTAACACTGTGTTAAAGAAATTGGCTCGAGACATTTTAGAAATTATTGACTCATTTTTTGTATCATGTTTGAACAAAGGTAATGAAGGTTTACTCCCAATTCATACAGGTAAAATGCAGTGTGAAAATGGAAGGGTAATTAATTAGAACATCACATTGTGTCCAGGACACCCTTGTTTTTAGGTCATCACTAGCTGGAAGTGGGAGATGGGTATTAGGCAGTGGGGAACAAACATATTTGACAATCATCACTTTAACTCATAGGCTGCACAGACTATGGGAATACAAAGAGATTTCTGCACATTCTAGGGGCCTATCTCTTTGCGAAGAAAGTGGAGTAATGTTAAATGCTGATGCATATGTGGTATCTTACTAAGGACTTCCCATAGGAATCAACACCTTCGAAAAGACTCCATTCTCAGAGGCAGAGAGGAGCAGTTAATGTTCCCACTTGTCCATAGTCCTCAGATACTGGGATCACAGTATGTTTAAAAGAAATATATGAAGGCTCAAACTACATCCTAAAGTGTGTGTGGGAGACACACTACCTGCATATAATAATAAGTATGATCCTTGACCTCAACATGTCTCACAGTCAAAAGTTTGGTGAGGAAAAAATATTAAACTGATATTCACAGTGTAGTTCACTAAGCAGCATAATCTCAGAAAATTTTAATTTTAGTTTTTTTATTTTAAAAAAACATTGGTTTATGCAATGTTACTGGTTACTTGAGAATGTGGAAAAAAGTCTCATGTTTATGTTTTTAGGTCTTTTAAGATTGAGAAAAATGAGAAAAATGTGTTATTGCACAGATAATATAAAAACTAGGGTAATCATCTTCTTTATACTGTTCACAGCATGAGAAAATGATATAGACTTTCAATTGGAGGGTAAAAGATCATTAAGGATATCTTATTTTTGGTACAGGGGATCGAACTCATGATCTTGTGCTTGCCAGGTGCTTATGCAGCTGAACCCTCAGTCCTAGGATATCTTTTTTAAAAACTTCAAATTAAATTTGAAAATTATTAGATATTTCACAATCAAATTATGCATTTCACAAATAGTTATCAATCTATTTATATATAAATCGGTATCTACAAATCTACAAAGACATATATGATGTATTATATATGGTATCACCCTATTTGGATTTTATGTAATACATAGCATATATTACAGAATAAACTATACTCAAAAATGCAGATAATCATCAATGAGCTGTATTCCAAAAAAACCATTACAGACACTGAACAAAATCAAGAATATTATTTATATCCAACAATATGCATTATAAATAATTTCAATGTAACAGGTGATTATATAGTTTAATAAAATTCCATTTCTATACTTATACAATTCATGGTTTAATTTGTACCAGTAACAGGATTTTTGTAAACAGGTTAAGATGGACTTAAAAGCCTTAAAAGATGGATTTTTAAAAAAAGATGGATTTAAATATCTATAAACCAGCAATTTTCACTACACACTTACATCAAAAAAGAAAACACTACAGTGCATAATTCTACTAAGTCTCACTCCCTGGCAGCTTCCTGAAAAGTCTACTGATTTCCTATATTTCTTCTTGTATCTGGTAAGCACTGACCCCAGGGAGCCATCTGGTCACATTAGGCTTGCTCAGAGGAGCAGGACTGTTCTTGTAGGAGCATTTAATATAGGATTCATCTAAAGTCCCAGGAGAAACTATGGACACAAACAATAATTTTCCAGAATATTATAGCCAAATTAAGTAAGATCAATCTCTTTGGAAAGTTACTAAGGTGACTAAACATTTGCATGTAGTTCTGTGCATTTTCAAGGTAAGGATAAATGACAAATCCACCGCTGAAGTGGTAGGAACCAAGTACTGTGATAGAATAACTTGATTTGTAGATAGGGAGGAAAGCAAATGTAACCTTTGATTGTCTTCCTTCTAATCTAATGTCAGTATCGTGAAAATAGTTGCTCAGTAAAACAAGTATTTTAGCATTTGACTCCTAATTTTCAAAAGTAAAACATGGATAAGGTTTACACTTTCATTCTTGTGAAGATAGACACTTGTCAGTCACATGGTTAACTGTCCCAAATGAGCTGCAGCACTGTACTTGTGGTGACTGATAAGCCTTTGTTTGCGTAAACTTCTCTCTCTAGAAATAGTACCAATCTAGTGAATACATACCTTCCAGAAGTTCAATTTGCTGGTGAACCAGAATCTGATCTATCTATTAAAACAAAACAAAACAAAACAAAAAAATCAAGCACATGTAATTATCAATATTTAAATTTACATGATAATCTAAAACTAACTTTAATGCTTTTAATAGGTAAAATATCTGTTGAAATTTTTCACTTAATGTAAAAAGCTTTATGTCAAATGAAACTAATTTAAACTGGAATTCCCACAACAATGTTCTTTCTAGAAGAGGCACAAAAAACATTCATAACCTTTTTTATTCAGTTAAAAAGATTTCTGTCCTACCATTTTCAATTTTAAGTGCACTTGGCTTCAGCAATTATAGTAGGTGACAATTTCTTCTAAGTATTTTATGGGACACTCTTTTTGAAAATGTGCATTTCTGAGTATTTCTCCCAGAATATATTTATGACTAAAATTCTTATTATATATCCTGCTTGAGTGTATTGTGGAAAATTAAGTGAGTAGATTGTGCCAGAGACACATCTGACTTACTGTATACTGTGTGGATATCATAAATCCTTTGTTTATGGCATAAGTGCCTGCCCTGGCAAGTGCGAGGTCGTGAGTTCAATCCCTGGTACAAAAAAACAAAACAAAAAAAAACCCACCTTTTGTTTACAGAACTTCTACTCTTGTTTTACCTATCTGATTTCTCACACCAAATAAATGTTAACCCTCACATGCCAACAGTCATCACCCTGTAGTAGAGCAAAATACTGGGTTCCTCTCTCCTTTCACTTATGCTGTATTTATAATACTGGATCTTCCAAGGAATGAAAACAACATTATAAACACACAGTTCTATTGGTTGTAAAAGGTGAGTCATAGCAAGCACAACATATTAACCCTTTGTTTGATCCTCATTATTAATTCTAAGGAATAGACTTTATTCAAAGTTCTTTTTCTGTTCCCAAGAAAACTATTCAGTGTTGGGATAATAGGGCAGTGAGTTCAGTACAAAGGTCTAGATTAAAGAACTACTCTTACTGTCTAAAGTTTCTAATTCTGACCAAGGTAGATAACTTCTTCTGACCTCAGATTCCTCTTCTGAAAAATGATCATTATGGGACAAATACATCATAAGTTTTTTGGAAAGACTAAGTGAGAAAATACATGTAACTATGCTCACAACAAAAGCTAGACCATACTGCTTAATGAATATTTGCTATTGACTGTTAACACATTTTAGTCATGCACACAGAAAACACAATTACCTCATGTATTTGTATTTTGCTTAAAATGTGACCTATAAGAATTAAGAGTAATCTGTTAATAAGAACTACTGATTTACCATTTCAGATTTTCTTAAATTATTTAAGTAAACCGGGTGCCCAGTTGTGACTTTTGTAAATCTGTATATATTTGAAATTACCTGACTTAAGTATTCCAGCCCAGGTGGGCAGTTCAATGGAGGTGGTGGTGCTGGCATCCATGGCACCCCTGCAGGTGCACCCGGCTGATTATATCCTGGCTGATTCTGTACAGGAAACCCAGGCTGGCCAGGACCTGCAAAGCTGCCTGGTGGGATTGGAGCTCCAGCGTAGGGACCCGGATACGCAACATAGGGCCCAGGGTAGCCAGCCTGGGGACCTAGGTAGCCACCCTGGGGACCAGGGTAGTCAGTTTGCCCAGGAGGTCCTGAAATAGGAACAAGTAAAATAACATCTCTGCACAGAATAGGAATTGTCAACTCATCTTGAGTTAGCACAGCCATCCTCAAATTATCCTCTTTATTTAGGAAACCTGTATCTGTGACATTTAATTTACAGTTTTGTCTTTCAGAGATTTTTAATGCAGTATGTGTTCACTTTACACTTCTATTTTGAGGATGATAGCTGTGAATAAAGGTAGCATATAGCCCTCTTTTTTCAAACCTGGAAAAAATATGCTTTTATAACAAAGTCTGCTACTGTATGATCTGGCATCGATAATATAAACATTTGGGCATGATTACATTAAAACAAGAGGAATGGCACTGGGTCAAAGATACAAAATAAAAACTTTGGGTCAGTACTTCAAAGACCAAAGAAAGCAACCCCATGATAATTCGGGGATTGTACCTAACATACTTCCCGTATCTACAGACCTGGAAGTGAATTTTTTCCTGCTTTACCCAGAGGATATTTAGAAAGATCTGGAGAATATTTTTTTTTCATTAGAATTTCAAAAATGTGTGGTGCTGGTATCATAGTGTTACTGTTGAGAAACTCTGGCATAGAAGTAACATTTCTTCCTTGTAGGTTTCAAGTACTTATCTGGGTTAATAATTTGCCTGGACTTGTTCTGTTCTATTCTGGTGTTCTTTTCATATAATTGATATTTACTGTAACAGCAACTATATCCTTGAGTTATACTCTCAATCTTTTATTTATTTATTTATTTATTTATTTTTTTGGTATTTTGGGGGCAAAGTCTTTCTAAACTTCCCAGGCTGCCCTTGAACTTCTGATCTTTCTGCCTCATTTTCCCAAGTTGCTGGTATTGCTGGTGTAAACCATTGTTTGGAGTTTTAATCCAAATTGTATTGCTCTCCTATACCACTAATCCATTAAAAACCAAACATATTTAGGTTAGAAATCCAAACTTCACAATGTAATACTCTAAGCTCTTTGGAAAATACAGTGGGAGGAACAAGCAAGACAAAAGTTCCAAGAAGCTAAATAGTTAATAAGCAGAGAAGATAAATTTAGTGTGTAGTGTATATTCTCTGTGAGTGCGATTATAATAACACTTTAAATAAATAAACTTATTTACAGAGTTGTAGCCATATACATGAAATATATTTAAAGGACTATATTCAATAAAATTAAAAACCATGAAAAATTTAACATTTAGAATACTTAGAATATAAATACTTTTACAAATAACATTTCTGACAAAATTCATAACACTGAATACTAAGGCTAACAACAGGCTAAACTAATAAGGCTTTTAAATATAACTTTTATACTTTAGCATGTTTACGATGAATAAATATTTATAGGGAACAAGTATGTTGGTGGTTCCACTGTAGAATCACAGTACACAGCTTTCAACAAGGGAAACTGCTCTCAGTAGGCTTATAAGCCAATCTCTGGGAAACAAAAACAAAAACATTTTATATTGATGTGATGAATAAAAATATAGTGGGGTGATGACAGGATATGAGGCAATCATTTTAGATAGCTAGACGTGAAACTGAATTCTAAAAGATGACAAAGAAAAACTTAATGTTAAATCTGGTGAGAAATTTTTCAGGAAGAAGGAAGAGCAAATGTAAAAACTCTGGCTTGGGGAATAAAATTGTCCTGTTTATCAACAGAGAGGATCATTGTAAGAGGAAGATTAGGAATGGCTGTGAGCAAAGCAAAGGAAAACAGTTAATCTGTGCAAATCCTCTAAGTGGCAGCTGTTGGAGGATTCTGAGCAGAAGAGTGATTTCCATGATGTCATTGTAGCTCACAAAGTTTTTAACAGTTCTGAGCATTAGGATTTACAGTGAGAAACACAGAAGCAATCCCAGTGCTCATTACCTAGCAGGAGAGACAACTCTATATTCATCTTTATTCTAGAGAGGTACTAGTGAAATTTATTAATTAGAGTTAGAGAGACAAACATTTTAAAGTAAGGGGCCAAAATTTTATGAAGGCAGATTGCTAAGGTTAGCTGTTGAAATGAAAAGAGGTAAAGTTTTACTGTTTCGATTAAAAAAAAAAAAACTCCCCAAAAGGCTCATATGTTTGTGGGCAAGTGATCAGAGCATGAAAGTACTAACCATATCAATGAAATAAATCATTCATGACTTCACAGCTGAAAGGGTGGTTAATAAATAGTTGGCGCCTAGTTTGACAAAGTAGGTCACTAGAGATGTAACTTGCTAGGATATATCTTGGCCTCTGCCCCTGACATTCTTTGCTTCTTGGCTGCCTTGATGTATGTGACTCTCCACCGCCATGGTCCTGCTGCTGTGATGTTTTAGCCTCCCTCAAACCTGAAGTCATGCAGCCAGTGAACCAAAGATTGAAAACTGTGAGCCAAAATAAACCTTTTGTAGCTTAAACTGACTTTTTGAGATGTTTCATCACAGGGACTGTATGCTGACCAACACAGGAGGGCAAAGGGGAATAGGAAAAGCTTCCCTGAGGTATCATCTTTTATGTAAGATCTGAAGATTCGTGAGAGTTAAATATAAAGAACATTTAAGGAAAACTTCCGGATTAATGACAAACCGAGGTGTTTATTAATCTTTAAAAATGGCCAGTAGAGTAGTGGCAGACAGCCAGCCTTAAGAAGCACCACACAACTACTAAGAGCAGAATGGAAACCTCATCCAAAGTCTCTACGCATTAGTTATCTGATGAATAAAGGGGTAATTAATAGTAGAATGGCTCTTGACACCTACAGGGATTGGTTCATGACTCATTACACATCTTCCTATATACTTTCAAGATCACTTAGAATATCTAATACAATGTAAATGCTATGTATATAGCTGAATAATGGTGAGGAAATGGTTCATACATATTCATTAAAGATGTAATTTAATATTTGAATATTTTCATTCTACAGTTGGTTGACTCTAAGGGCATATATACATAGGACTGACAATATTTACAAACTACAAATGTTCTGAGATTAAAAGATCTAACCCACATGAACTTCATTTAAAATAATGCCTATGGCACAGTAAGCTCTCATTTTTCAGCTATAATTATTTTTGACATCAATGGTATTTCAAGACCTATAATATATGCAGCCTTGGTGTCGGGAATTAAAACAAAGGTATTTTTCTAACAAACTCTCAAGTCTGGTTATATCTGAATTTAATTATTTATTTCTAGTTTTAGCTAGCTATGCAGCAAATTAAACTATTCTGTAAATGTCTTGAATAAATATCATAGTTTTTGAAATAATTCTTCAAAACCATGAAAAAATTTACAGCAGAATTCTCAACTCTGGTTTCGTATCAGAACCACTTGAAATATTAAAAATAAGCAATCCTTGAGTTAGAAATCTTGTTCAATTTTCCTGGGACGGTGTTAGATGTTATATGTTAGTTAGATGATACTTGAGAACAACCATGGTTAAGAACCACTACCTCAGACCTTAGTGCTTATCTAAATCACACTCTTAATTGTAAAGATTTGGATAAAATCTAGGACATATGTGGAGATTTCTAAGGACAATGAAACAGGCTAGTTAGTTGCCAAGAAAATTTGTTTGCTCAGAGAAAAGAACAAAATGGGAACATATTTCTATGCCAGCCAGATCAGCTTTGATCCTAAGTCCCTTCAATGTCTTACAAGATGTGAGTATTCGGCATACTTGTAAATCCATGCACACTATGAACTTTGACATTTCTAAATATATTAGTATCAGTAACTGCATCTGTCTAAATGATAATCTGTTTCTTTTATGAATCTGTACTCCATACAACATAGTGATGTAACTAAATCATTTTTCATAAAAATGAAAAGAATTAATTATCCTCAAAAAAAACTAGGATTGGAAGTTCCATTCCATCCAGCTATTCTCCTCCTGGGTATTTTCCCAGAAAAATTGAAAAGGTCATGCCATAGTGATATATGTGTACCCGTGTTCATAGCAGCCCAGTTTGTGATAGCTAAATCTTGGAAACAATCAAGATGCCCATCAACTGCAAAGTGGATGAAAAAGATGTGGTATTTTTTTACAATGGACTATTACTCAGCTATAAAAAGGATGATCTTGAGGCCTTTACAGGTAATTGGAGGCAACTTGAGAATATCCTCATTAGTGAAATAAACAAGACTCACATTAGTAAGTATCACATTCTTTCTAGTTTAAAAAATAATAAGATCTGACAATAATAGGATCCAAAAAGTATCACAGATATTGTAAAAGTGAAAGGGAAGGAAAGTGCTCTAAAGTATATAACAGTATGTATAGTGTGTAAGATAGATGACCATATTACTAAATTTCTGTTAGATCATTAACAGAAGAGTTTGTGCTGTCAATGTTTGAGTGTCTAGCAACATTTTATGCTTTGATTTTATAAGTTTAACAACTATTGTTAAGATGACAATAGGTAATATATCAACTAGCAATGTTATGATGTTAATTTTCTATTTTTTGAATTCTCTATTCTACTTTTTTTCTTGTTTTCTATTTTTTTAAATTTTCTTTTCTTTCTTTCTTTAAATAAAATAAAAAATTTTTTAAAAAGAAAAGCATGAATTAACAAGTAGAAATAAAGCTTCCATATTTGTTACGAAATAAAAATGTAAATTATTCCAAGGTAGCTAACGTTGCTCTCTGACTTTCTCTCTCTCTCCTGTCTGGGTTTTTGAGACAGGATCTTGCTATGTAGTTCAGGTTAACCTTAAATTCATGGCAAACTTTCTGCTTTGACCTCCTGAGTGCTGGAATTAGAGGTGTGTGCCACCATACCCAACCATGGCTAACATTTCTCCTGATTATAGCTTCTAGTTTTAAGTAGTCTGATCATTGTTCTATTGTACTAATTGAACAAAGCAAATCCCAAATATGGCATTTTTCAAACCCAGAAGGATAAATCTGTTAAGTAACATTACAGTATCAGAACTTTCAGAAAAGAGCAACAATCAATAACATATTGTACTTACTTTATGTATTTGGGGGTTTAATTTACCTGCAGCCTTGTATTTAATTTTCTTAATGTAAATTCACTATCAATTTTGCTAGTTCTCCTTCACACTTTTTCCTGTCTTCCATAAATAAAAGATTACTTCTATGGAAAATACGTACTCCAAAAGAAAATTGGGAATGGCTAGATTGTCAAAATTTCTTTCATGTGAGATCAAGAGAAGGAATTACCAACCTAAAGATACTTATTTTCTCCCTCTTCATTTCCTTCTCTATTTTGGGACTATCAATCGATTATTTTTCTTTTTAATCACTTATTTTACCTTGAAATGCTGCTGGTGGAAACTGTGGATTATACCCTGTTGCAAATTTATTTTCTGGATGAGAAGAATCCATTTGGATGTCTGTAATTCAAAGAAAAGTAAATTTATGACTGCTTAAATATAATAAACATTACAAAGAAGTGTAAATAATTTTCACTGTGTATTCTTATGCTCTTTGAAACAAAGTAAATTCAATCAACATAAATTGTATGTTATCAGAGTTAATTTTCAGTAAAATCCCCTTCAAAGAACCCTGCTTCTCTTTTAGATACTGTGAGACAGCTGAGTTACTGAGGCTGAATTCCTAATTTTCAAATATGCTTATGAGTGTTCAGTTACAGACTTCAGTTTTATGATATTCAAAACAAGACAGAGTTTTAAAAACACACATACAGGGCCAGGGATTTAGCTAAGTAGTATAAGTGCTGGTGTGGCAAGCACAAGGTCATGAGTTCAATCCCCAGTACCAAAACACACACATGCGCACACACACACACACACACACACATACACACACACACACACACACACACACACACACACACACACAGGGGCTGTGGTCGTGTACACTGCATGAGTTCAAGGCCAACCTGAACTATACAGCAAGATCTCGTCTCAAAAAACCAAAAAATAAAATAAGGTACACCATAAATTGTAAAGAAAGCAATAAACAAAGTTTATGTGTGATGATGGTAATAGTAGGAGTATGGATAATTTTAAAGGTAGCTATAATAATTGCTGTAAACATTATTTTAACATTTAAAATAATACATGCACTTCAGTATTCATCTTTCAATCTAACATTTTCGGTATGTGCTGCTAGAATAAACTTTCAAAGACAATAAACTCATTTAATCTCATGGGCTTATCAGGAAGCCTGGGTGGCAGTCTCCCTCTCCTCCGCAATCAGTTTTATAGTAACACCAACAGAATGCAGTCCACATGAACTGTAGAAATTCAGGCAACAAAGAATCCCCTTCCTAAAACTGGGTCCTTCACTTGGACAAGCATTACAACATAGCCTGAATTACCACAAATCTCTGAAATTTCAAAGTTTACTCCATCCACACCATTTCCTTCTATTTTCTACCTGCAGATGAGCAGCTCAGCTCCTTAGTTCTCTGGATGTTAAGCTCTTGCTTGAAGCCAAACTCTCAGGCAGGGGTGCAAAATTCAAGATTAAATTTAAAAGAAGAGATCCAAGGAAACAAACTCCAAGTGTGACTTCAAGTTTGACTCATAACTTTCCTGTCAGTACTGGTAATACAAATGAGGCCGGAATGCCACTCCTCCACTCATCTGAACTGGGGACAATTTTCATTTCATTGTCCTAAGAAAAGCGAAAGTAAAATAGCAAACTCAGGAAATCGCTAAAGTTTCAGGCCAGCATTCATCTGTGTCAGACCTTACTGCCTCCTGTAACCTTTTCCTCATCTGAACCCTGTTTAGGACTAAATTATATGGGTTTAATTTAATCAGAGTGGATTCTGGGATGGGAATGGCATGTTAAAGTCACTGAGTTTTAAAAATAAGATCAAGTAAATAGAGCATTCTCCAAAATCACAAAACTCAGTGTGTAGACAATAAGGGGTCTACACAAGTTTAAATACTATATGACTTCTCTTACATGACAAATCCAAAGTATAAATACTTTTTGGTCTTTTGTCTTTATTTTTCTTGTTGAGACAGAGTCTCTCACTAGGTAGTTCAGGCTGGCCATGAAATCTCAGGGATCCTCCAGTCTCAGTCTCCCAAATGCTGAGATTATAGGTGTGCGCCAAGTATTAATAATTTACAGGGCAGAATAAAAGGTAAAAAATAAAAAAACAGGAAAATAGACCTTTTGCAAATGAGAAGGAGGCCAAGTGATGGATGAGGTGGGAGTGAGAGGAGGAATAGGGGAAGTAAAAACAATTCAGATGTGTTATGTGCATGTACCACCTTCCACACTCAATGTAATCATTACATACAGCAAGGCATTAATAAAAATTAAAAATAAATTTAAAAAAAGAAAGGGTCTGGTGCTGAAAATTATCTAATATTACGATCAAGACTGACATTTTAGTGAGAAATGAATCACTTGGGGGTTATCATGAAAAAGAAAAAAGAAGAAAATATTACTCAGAAACATACTATTTGGTTTTTGGTATTTTCCTTGATGTTTATTATTTTTTCCTTTGGAACCTTAAATGTTAAATAGGCAAAATCTTTCATTACATTATTAAATGTCCAATTTAGAGCCTTCAGGGAAAAAGTGAGAATATTTTGATTGTTATATATTTCAGCATACAGACACACACACACATGTATGTTATGGAATAAATATTAGGGAATATATCTGAAGAATTTGTTTCAATGAATTGGCATATTAAATTTATTATGTTAATGTGACTTGAGTAGCCTTCATGAATATATTATGCACAACAAAAACAGAAAAACACTCTTGCTGACAATAGGACACACTGTACAATATTATTTACTAGCAAGGCTTATGTTTAGCTTCCCCTACAGTTTTTTATTAAATATTAATGAAAAGTCAGTGGCAATGGATATTTGCATACATACTGTCTATACCTGAATCACTAAATTCAGCACTGAATTCTGAAGCATAAATAGCACAAAATCAATGAAAAGTTCATAGAATGAATAAAACATTGCAGCAAATAACAAGTAAACACATGTCATATTGTAGGGAAGAAAACTAAATGCTTTAAATAATACTCTGCTGGACTATAGTTTACATAGTTCTGAAAAAAAAGATCTGATATTATTAGCTCAGTGTCTACAAATTTACAAGGCAAATATGACAGGTGATATAAGATATTCTTGAACTATATGGTCACACTTCTGGGACAGTCCTCTTTATTTATCTCATCCAGCCTTCCAGTCATTTAAACCTTTTGGACTTGAGCCCGTTCCCTGTGCCATGTTTCTGAGAAGTAATTTAAAGTTGTTGGAAAGGCCACGATGACTAACACTTCCTGAAGGCCTTTGGAGAAAAGAAACAATGATATATAGTGAGCAAAGTCATAAAGGAATACTTCTTGGGGAAAGACCCAAAAATTTTCAGCTTTCAGGACTCATACACCTACAGAAAGTATGTGGTCCACTTTCCAGCCTTTCTATCTCAGATCCAGGAATATTCTAGAAGGTGGACAAGAAAGATTAACTCCCAGGTTATGTCACTGTAAATATATCTAGCATGCCAGGTCCTATTCTGCCCAGTGTGAGTGGCAAATCTGAGAAGGCCTAACACTCTACTCTGTTGATGAAGACCTTTTCGTTTGTCATGACTGCAGCAACTCTGACAATCTTAGTGCACTTTTGCATTTGATTATTTCTACAGAAACATGAATAGCAACAAAATGTCCTACTCACTACCTCTGTTTTCTGGTACTTTGATCCCATTTTAGTCCCTAATTTTTCTACTATAAACCTTAACCCATTTTGTGCCTATTAACTACAACCGATGTACATGCAAAAATTCTGTTGCCCCAAAGCTTTATCTTGGTCCCACAGACTAAACTGAATAGGTCCTTTCTATTCCCATCCCCCCTCCAAAGGGTTCTCGTTTAACTAACTCCTTCTAAATGTAATTGTAACATTGCTGGATTTCCACATGACTAATTATGTGAACAGTTTCCCAGAGAAACCAGTTCCTATTTTTCAATTTCAAAATTATTCAACATTGTCAATTTTGCACATAAAGTTCCCTACATAATTCAGTAAAATTAAGGTTTTCAAAACCTTAACAGATCTATCCCAAGATATGTAAGACTCAGTTTTGGAAATAATTAAGTCTATCTCTTATTGTACCAATTAGTCAATAAATTTAACATGAGAACTGTTAAAAATTCCACAAAGACTTTCTTTGGAAAACAGAAAATCACAGTTATGACCCAAAGAAAAACAAAATATTTGTGATATGGCTTGTATTTAAAGGTTCCCCCAAGTTTCATGTGTTCACACATGGGGCTTTTTCAGAGGAAGCTGGTTCTAAAGTGGGTGGCACTAGAATTGATTCAAGGTGCAATGGTAGGATCAAGAGCACTAGGAATAAAAGTGTGCATGCTAAGTGCCCTGGATAAAATACAAGGGATAGAAAGAGCTGTGGTTGTCCCTTGCTGCATTGCTATCTTCTGCTCACCATGAACTACTCCTCTGTGATGCCCTCCTTGGATCCAGGTGATAATGGATGGAAACCTTCACTAACAGTGAGTCAAATAAATTTTCCCTCTTCTAATTTTGGGCATGGAGTACTTTATCTCAGCAATGAGAAAAGTAACTAAGACAGTGTTTGGTAACAGAGAAGTGAAGTCATTGCTATGACATTACCTAACCATGTGGCGCAAGAGTTTTTGAAACTGAGTTGTGGGAAGGGAAACAATCAGGAAAGATTTGGAGATGCTGACTGAAAAAGTAGAGCTGGAATGCCTTAGGGTGTACTTGATGGGTGATTCCAGTTACAGCACAGAAGACAAGAAGGTGATAAAAATTCTGCCAGTAAACATTGGGCTCAAGGGGTTTCTTCTAGAAGGACTGCAATGGCTGCTAGACTCCAACAATGTGTGTTATTCCTTGGCAGAAAGTTTGTCTGCATTTTGCTTCCTTAGACTTTGTCTGAGACTGACATTAAAGGTGGCAGATGCATTAATCTGGCAGAAGAAATTTCAAGGTGGTCTAATGCTGGAGTGGTGGCATGACTACTGCTGGAGCTTTTAGCCAGAATTATGTTAAGAGTCAAGGACGAAAGCACCCAGTAGAATGATTCAAAATGTTTTGAGTTTGGTCATAAAGGAAGCTCCAGTAAAGTTTCAGCCTAGGAAGATGGAACAGAGGATTTGCTGCTTGCTACTTCACTGCTGGCTATCTTCTGCGTGCTCTGCTTTCCAAGGACTATTTCTCCTGTCTACCCCTCTGCCATGCCACCCTGTCTTGGATCCATCCAGATACGGACTCAAACTTTTGGGAACTGTGACTTGAAATAAACCTTTTTGCCTTAAAAAAATAAAAAGATGGAACAGAGTAGAGACTGGTCATTAAAAATATGAGCAAGAAAAGACCTAAATGTTTCAGAAGAAGACAACAGAAATGGTGATCTGAGAACACAAGAACCAGCTGGGCCCTAGTATTTCCAGCCTCAGAGTTGCAAAGACTTTGCTTTAAGAGGAGAGCCCCAGAATACCATGTACGAGAATGGCTGTGGTCTAGGGAAGTTATTCCTCAGGATTTGCTTCATAGACACCAAATCCCTATAGCTAAGAGAACAGAAAGCCTACTGCTCCAGCTGGTGAGAGACCGTGGTGTCATCCATGTGGTGCTGGTTTTAGGAGTACACGTAATGCAAGAGTTACTGGGTCAGGAAGCCTTCCACTAGGCTTTCAGATGAAGGCCAAGCAGTGTTCCCCCGAGAGGGCAGTGTGTGAAGCTGTGGATATAAAGCTGAAGGAGCCAATGGAGACCTCAGAAGGTTGGAGAAGCTAGAAATATGAATTGTCAGCTGTTTGGGGAAAACTGCAAAGAGGGAGCACAGCTGGCCCCAGAAAGAAGCTATGGGAGCTTCCACCACCACACGTGGCATAGAAGTGGAGCCATTCCAGTCCTTTGGAGTTCACAACTTGCCACAGATTGCCAGGGATGCTGGAAGTGGAACAGTGGGATTTAATGTTTATGCTGCTGGACTTTGGTCTTACTTTTTTCTCATTCCTTGCTATACCTCTATTTGTAACTTTTGGAATGGATATGTCCATCTTGTCCTATTGAATATTGGAAGTGTTTAACTTTCTTTTAATTTATACAAGAGCTTGCAGCTAAGAGTGTATCTTAAATCTCAGAGCAGACTTTGGTCTTGGACTTTTCAGCAATGCTGAAACTCAGAACTTTGGCAACTCTTGGAAATGGACTAAATGTCTCTTTCAGAAAGCAATATGCATGAGTCTTTGGGGGATGAGGGACAGAATGTTATGGCTTGTGTTTAGATATTCACCCAAAGCCTCATGTGGCCATAGTTGGAGTGTTTTTAGAGGTTACTGGATCTACAATGTGTGATGAATGAATTGATTTATGGTGTAACATAATCAAGGGCACTATGATTAAGGGTATGAGTGCTACCTTTTCTAAGTGCCCTAGATAAGAAGAGCTATGGTGTCCCTTGTTGCTTTTCTATGTTCCACCATGAACTGTTTCTACTCCATGATGCTTCTTTGCCTTGGATCTAACTGATGAGGGATGGGAACCTCCACTAACGGTGATCTGAACTTCCCTCTTCTAACTTTGGGTACTGAATATTTTCTTAGAGGGAAGAAAGGAACTAAAATAGTCTGTAATATAGTCATAGCACTGGAACCATGGAACTAGAAAATATGATCTACATCGTACACCTTTCTTTCAGTGTTACATAAGAACTTTGGAGAAAATTGAGGCATATACTACAAAAGTATATCTGTTAAAGTTATTCTTTCAATAATACTAAATTGCTGGCAAAGGCTATTCAATAATTGCAAAATACTCTTATTAAGGGAAAAACAGTGTGGTCATTTCCAGTTACATCTTCACAATTCATACTACTGTAAAAATTTTTGGTCCATCTCTCTAGAGCCTAAGATTTTGTTTATTGCTTTCAAAAGGTATTCCTTGGAGGTCAGAGTGTTCTATATGTTAAAGAAGCATTATCTAGATCTGCATTGTTTATGGGAGTTTATTAATTTCCTAAGAACAAATCACACTTCTCTACCTACTCATCCAAAACAAAAGACTAGTGTTTATACTCCTCACAACTCCCAAAATGGAAATATATGCTCTGAACTATTTTAGCAACACACTACCACTTTAAAAACAATCACCAGAATGCTAGGTCTCTAATTGTCCACTAATAAGTAAAATGAGACACTTTGAAAGAGAACAATTTTAAATAAGTCAAGGCAAGAAGAAAATATGTGTTAAGTCACCAAGAAATTTTCCTACATTTCTAATTGTTTTTAGTAAATTGTGTGCACTTACAAAGGGTTAGTTATTATCTAAAGAAAGAAAGTTTAATAAAAATATTTGCATTTACACAAATGGATGCAGCAGAGTGTGCGAGCTTTTGACTAGACCAGTGTGTATATCCGTAGTATATGAGTTAGAAATGCTCTGAGGTTGAACGGAAAGGCAATGCATCTTATAACAGGAAGTTTCTATTACCACACACTTCTGTATTTTAGGCTTAAGAAATAAAAGCAAATGTGCTTAGAATCAACTTGGGATGGGACAGTGAACCTTGAAAAGTATTGATCATACATCAACTACAATAAACTGAAGTAGTAGTGATCAAGTATTTCATAAACGAATAAACCAAAGAGACCAAAGTTGTAAAACTGATCTTTGAAAATTAGTTGCTCTAGGGGTTGGGGATTTAGCTCAGCGGCATAAGCGCCTGCTTTGCAAGCAGGCAGTCGTGAGTTCGATCCCTGGTACCGATAAAAACGAAAAAGACAAAAAAAAAAAAAAAAAAAAAGAAAATTAGTTGTTCTAATTTGACTGATGTCCTATTCTATTCTTTTTTAAACTTTCTTTATGTTTGGTACCAGGAATTGAAATGAGGACTCGCGCTTGCTAGGCAGAGGTACTCTGCGGCTGAACCATATCCCCAGCCCTAATGTTCTATTCTAAAAAGCCTTTATGGACAACCTAATGGTTCTTCACAACTTTGAGCTGTTTCCTTTTCTGCTTACAAATGAAGAAAGTACTGCATAGAGATAAAATGGGTACTTAATTCCACACAGGTTACTAATTAGCTGAATTAAGATGATTCATGATTCGTATCATTTACACTCATGTCCCTATTCCAGTGGGGGGAAAAAAGACTAATAACTTTCAGAAATATATTCTAGAGGGAATCTTTATGGTATCTGCTTCATGGAAAACAAAAAAGCACTGAATTCCAATTTACTCTCTGATCTCATAATTCTTACTAAGACAGGTAAGATTTTTCCAGCATTTATTAAGACAAAACTTGGAAAATTGAAAGAAAAAATATTACTACACATATTCCTTGCTTAATGACCTAGTCCTTGGATTTATCACCTGTCATTTTTTTGGGGGTACAGTTCTATAGATCTTGTTTATAAAGCCTCAGTATCTTTTTTGGTACAGTACATCTTGTTTACATAATATTGTAATTTTTGCTGATTCTATTGTACAGTACAGTACTAGCACTTTATGTTCCATGATGCATTACAGTACTGCATGTAAGAGTCACACAAATAAAAGCAAAGTCATCAAATTGGAGCATTCTTGGACCATTTCTTTGTTCTGAATATTATAATGTACATACTATATCAAATTCATTTAGTAACCAATTCATTTAATGAAACAGAACTCAGTCATTAAATGAGAAGTGTCTATACTTAGCTAGGGTGCCAGATTTTGATTGAGAATCTTTTAGTGTAGAACTGTAGTGTGCGTGTGTGTGTGTGTGTGTGTGTGTGTGTGTGTGAACACACATGCACATCCGTGGAAATATTTCATGCATAAATATTCACTTAGGATAACATGTGTGGTTTTCAAGGAGTGAAGATACAAACAGATACGGCTCGTATCACATACTGCAGCATTCTATCATGCAAGACACTCCCGGAGACAAACAGTGAAATATGTTTCTGAAAACACACTTAAGTACTATGAGTAAAAATAATTATGCAATAACAAAGGGCTTTGAGAACAGCGATTTAGACAGTAAGGGCAGTGTCACTGTCAGGATATTCATATCTGAACAGAAAAATGTGTAAAGTCAACAAGATCAGAGTGAGGTGGATGTGTTGTGATGTGCAGTGTAAACATGGGAATCTTACAAGTAAAAGTCTGAGATTAAAAATATTTTGATGCAGTTAAGAAAATGAAAGATGTGGAGATTACAGAGCACAGGAAAGAGAAGTCCTTAGACATAAAGATGGAGAGATATAGGAGAGCCAGCTCCCACATCTTAATGTCTCTCCACCTCTTAGCTAAGTACTTTTGCAAGTCTTTTACAACCCACCCATTTTACATGCCCTTTTTCTATGAAATCCATCCAGTTTGTCTTTCAATAATTTAAAAATTCCCTGTGATTTGTTGTTGTTGTTGTTCAGATCCTACAACTGTCTGAATCCCAAGGGTGGTCTGAAAAGAATGCTGTGCTGTTTCATAGTTGAGGAAAGACACACAGCACCCTGCTTTCCTATCACTTGGCACTGGAAGTTTCCCTTGTATTAACCAGCTATCTCAAATCCCTAAACTGAAACTAAAAATGCCTTGTTTGATGATCTGGAACTCTAGAGAGGCCACATTCACTTTATCAGGAACAACAGTTCATAAATAAAACCACCCATTAACCAGATAGTGAGTTAAAAGCAACAAGGAGCCCTCAGATATATGAAAAATTAACTTTTGTTAATTTCTCTCTCCGGTCAGGTACTCCATTAATATATTAATACACATAGGTCTTAACTCTTCTATCTCTAGTAATAATTACACAAGTTCAGAGAAAAGGCAAACTGAAGAAATATGTATATAGACACCAGGTGAGAGTCCAAAACTGGCAAGTAGTCGAGGCAGAGTCCAAATTCAGGCGGCCTGAACACAGCCGATCACTCTAACATGTTCCCTCTCTGCCTTTCCTATACCGCTGGTATTCTAGAATATCAAGCATAATCTTATATTCTAATCATAATCCCAATTAATACTTAACTTTCAATGGCATCTAGTAAGTCTTATTAGTTACTAATACCTTATTACGTTGACAGAAGCTGGGGGGACTCAGCCTCCGGCCAGGCGTTGAGGCTGTCCTCTGAGCTCTGAAGCAGTGCAGCTAAGTGGACGCAGAGGTCAGCCAGATTTTCCCTGGCAACACCTTGTCACTTCGTCACTAGAATGGTTACCAGGTGGGCTAGGTGTTTCCCCGTGTGTCACAACAGGGCACTTTCCCAGTCTCCATCACACATCTGCCACCTCCAAAGCAAACACGATCCTCAGGCTCCCGCTCACCAGCTGGGGCATCCCCAGCTTCCTTCTGGGGAGCCACGGAGCCCCCAGTTCTTTCCCGGAGAGGGGAGAACGCAGCTGGCTTACCTGCTGCCGCCGCGGTCCTCGCTCGCTACCGCTGAGACCCGAGGTCCGGGAGTCCGCCCGCCCGACTGAGCTGCACTCCCCTGAGCCGCGCGGGGAAGCACCGAGCTTCGCAGCCTGCTCCGCGGAAAGCAGGAAAAGCGCCCCCCAGTGACCGGCGGCGCTTCCGGGGTCCCGGCTAGGGCAGGACTTCCTTCCCCGCAGGCGCGCGGACGCCTGGGGTCTCGGTGGCTTTCACTTTACCGGGGAGGAGCTTCTGTCCCTTTCTGTTCCTGGGAAAGGAACCAGAAACCTCTGTCCTGCAGTGAAAGGCGTCCCATTGGTGTGGCTGCACCTGAACTGGGATTCGTCAACTGGAGAGGAGCCTTCTCAAGGAACTCAGTTAACTCTGGTCTTGACCTCCAAGACCTCAGATTCATGTGACTCAGATAACAAATGACTAATCCTCCAGGAGGTAATTTTTCTTCATGATTCCTTTTATTTCTTGCTGTCTGCCTCTTTCCATCACCCGATGTTTAAGTGTGTTTTAGAAGTTTTTTTTTTTTTTGAAACTTTTTTTTTTTTTTGTCTTTTTGATTTTTATCGGTACCGGGGATCGAACTCACGACCGCCTGCTTGCAAGGCAGGCGCTTATGCCGCTGAGCCAAATCCCCAGCTCCGTGTTTTAGAAGTTTTACGGACCACATTTATTTAGAATGGCGCAGAACCATTCAGCAGATATTCATTTAAGTGACCTTCCAAACAGTATTCTTATGCATGCTGAAAAGAAACGAAATTTGCTTTTCACTTCCTAGTCTCTCCGCATTGTCCTGCTCATCAGCGTTACAGACATTTAGAAGTGTACTTAGCCAGTTGAGGGACAGGGACGGCGATTAAAGGGAATAGGAGAGGATGGAGGTTAGAGAAGAAAGCAGAGTAAACAAGAAATAAAGAGAGGAATACCAAGCCAGTTTTGGATACTTTCTCTTTAACCTACCCTGCCTGTGACCTTGTGAAAGTTAAGTTACCCCACGGTCTCTGTAGGTTTGTTTTTTTTAAATGAGAGTCGTAATAGTATCAGGTGGTTTTTATGAAGCTTAGGGAAATGAATCACATGTTTAGTATGGCGCCTGCCTAACCGTGAACTTTTGCTTCTGGGTTTAGCTTCCTGATCTGTTTCAGGAAAAACAGAAACACTGGAAATCCAATAGCTTTCATTTTCAATTATCAAAATTAGTTTACAATTTATCCTTCCTAAATGAACACTATGTGCTATTTGTTGTTGTTATTTTGTGTTTAATTCAAAGACTTTTCTGATCATTTTACATACAAGAAATTTCCCATCATTTTCTTAGAATGGTTCCCATGGGGGTAGTGACTGAAGGCAAATTCATTGGCTTCCACGTGTAGATATTCAATATCCTACATTTTAATTTTAATTGTCATTTTATTACCTTTATTTGACACGACAAAATTCCTATTCTCCTTGAAATTGTAGGACGTACTGGATCTCCTTAATGTGATATTTCTCTTTACACACTTCCTATATCTTGCAAAATCAGTTCACATCTACCCCTTACACTTTCTCAGGTTTGTTCAAATCTTAATTGTTGTACAGCATAATTTCGCATGGCCTTTGAGACTTTTTACGACTTTTACTTGTTGTTAATGTTACAGCCAGCTAAGTTAGTTAGAAATATTATATAGGCTGTCAATCAGGGCTGGGCCTTCGAAGGAGCTGGTGCAAAAATTCAGATACCTTGAGGCCTTTGAAGAGGCAATCACCTCCTGCTGTGGGCCAGACCTCAAGACAAAAGGCAAAGCAAAAAAGACCACATTGTAAGGATTGATAATCCAAATAGTTCTATATACTATAGGAAGTGAGGTATCTCCATTCAAACCCTCTACTGGGAGAGTCACTGCTTTTAAGCATGCCTGCTTACTGCAGTGGCTTTCCCATTGGTTCCTGATTTAATCAATTTTACCTGAGCAGTTAATCTTACTGTTTGATCGCAGTTCTGCCCCACATTATGACTACCTTCTGAGTTCCCATATTTCCCCACCTTGAACCCCTCTCACCCCATGATTTTGCACTGTACAGGTCCCTAGAAAAGACAGAATCTTTGGCAACCTGCTGGAACCCCTTCTGTCTCTCAGATAGAAGCTCTTTTTCTCTCAATAAATGTATTCTGCTCCTGACCTCTGTTGTTCCTAGAATTCATTATTCAATTTTAGAGAACATGAACTCGTACCAGACATAGCAGGTTGGGATTTGCATTCTCCTATATCATTATGTTACTTATTTTCACTTTAATTTTATTATAGTCTAGAAAAAGTACTGTCTATATTTAGAAACTGTGTAGGTTTGGCTTACCACAAACTCAGAATCTGCATTTATATGGTAAAGTAGTAGCTAGTTTCCTTATTTAGCAAAGTTGTGAATAAATTTATTTTTCCATTTTTATAGACTTTTCTTTTGCCTTTTGTGGCAGACAAGTGAACAAATACAGATATCCAAGACCCAAATTCAGACCTCTGGTTAGGTCCTTAGTAATACCAGTTTGAGAATGAATATAAGGCCAAATCATTTTCTGGTGGAAAATATGTTATGGTAACTAGCATTAACCAAACTGACTACACCTAGAATGGTTAAAAACAGTCATTGATATAAGGCTATATACCATGAAGAAGATTCTAGATTATACAATGGAGGATGAAATAGAGTAAGATATAATGTAAAGTATGTGAAAGACACTATAAGGTTCTCATTTTAGAGAAACTATGATAATTTAAAGAGTGACTTGAATATTGGAGAAACAGGCAGAGAAATTATTTTAGTGAATTCAAAATTAAAATAATGCAATCTTCAAGTAACATACTGTAATATTGCTTAGTAAAATTAAAAGAAGTTTTTCTTGAAGATTAAAAAAAATATTAGGTAGTGTTTGATTACTACAGAGATGCTAGAGGGATAAAAGAATGGGATTATTTTAAGAATATTTCCATCTTGGACTATTAATAGTTGACTTCCTCTGTTGCTGGGACAAAAGAGCCATTGCCCAGGATTTAAAAGAGGAAGAGTTCATTTAGGTCATAGTTCAGGGAGTTCAGGCTATGGTTGCTGGCAGCAAGCCAAACAGCATGACAGAAGGCATCTGTTCACCTTAAGGCCACCAGGAAGCAGAGAAAAGGGAGGAAAAGGAAACAAGAATATATCCTTCCAGGTTACATCCCCAGTTAGCTACTTCCATCCAGGCTCCACCTCCTAGCAGTACTTTCAACAGTGAACTCACCAATGGATTAATCTACTAATAAGTATAGTGCTTTTGTGATCCAATTAGTTTCAAAAAGCTCCACCTCTGATATAGAGGAAATTAGGTAGCTAGGACCGGGTTGGTCCTGAATGGTTAACCTAAAGTCAAATGAACTAAATCCGGGCTTACATTAGTTAACATAAAGAAGGCCTCAAGTAATTAAGCAATCAGGGCCTAAGGACTAAGGGGGAGTGGTCACTAAACTAGTGGGTGAGAATTTGGAGGAAGAGAAATGCAAACGGAGCAGCTTGCAAATCAGACCAGAGGTCTGCTTGCAACCAGGAACATGCCTGTATTTCCTCAGGTTCTTGAGTGTCAGAAACTGTAAAGGCCTCTGGGTTTAAAAGTCTATGGTATCCACCTGATAGAAGCCCCCCAACAGTAGGGAGTTGTTACTTTTATTCTTTCATTTATTTATTCATTTTTATTCTTCCTTTTAAAGATACTCTTGGTCATTTCCTGTGTTTGTTGTGGGGAACCTGACGCAAGAACTTGAGAACTACGCAGAAGTTGTTACAACAGGAAACTTTGTGGGGAGGAGGGAGAGTATTTTAGATCTAAATCATAACCATAGTGCACATATTTGGAAGGAAATTTGGAATGCAGTTACATTAATTGGCTATCAGACTTCAAAGCAGGAACAGCTTATGAGATTGTTAAGACTGTCTGCCCACATTTTAAGAGTTAAACAAGCAATATGCAGGGTATGTACTTGAAACCCTAATAACAGATCTACACTATTGAAATGTCACTGTGTGAGGACTAGGTAATGCATGCAAATTTAGGACACACTCATGTTTAAAGAGCTAGAGGTTTTTTTTTGTTGTTTTTTTTTGTTTTTTTTTTTTGTCTTTTTCATTTTTATCAGTACCGGGGATCCAATTCACGACTGCCTGCTTGTAAGGCAGGCACTTAATGCCGCTGAGCTAAATCCCCAGCCCCAGAGCTAGAGTTCTTTATCCTTTGCTTAAAGAAGAAGGAAAGGGAGGCCTGGCCTGAGGGTGACCTGGACTGTTCATACAAACAATAGATTCTTCATGGCTGACAATGACTTTCCCTCTGCAAATAACAATCAAATGCCATACAGGAATTTAGAACTGGATTTGAAATCATCATGACACCAGTTCTATCTACATATCTGGACTGATTGTCTCTGCAAGTTTGACTTCAAACATTTCATCCAGATTCTTTGACACTGTGACCCCCAACTCCAAATTCTGTATATAGTTATTCTCCCCTCCAGATCCCTGCTGGTATAAAAATATTATTGGCAGTCAGACAGGGCTAGGCCATCAAAGGAGCCAGTGTGGAAGGCCAGATATCTTGCAACTGTTGAGGAAACATACTTTTGTTTGGGGCCAGGCCTAAAGACAAAGGATCAAACAAATACACCCAATAACCTAAAGACTGATATTTTAAATAGTTCTCTATTATCCTGAGAAAACCAAGAGTCACCATCCCAATGATATACAGAATGTAACTCCTGACCTACAAGTCCAGAACAAGTTCGTGTTATCTAAAATCAAAGAATGAATTTTAGGAACAATGGAGGTTAAAAGCAGAAATATTTATTGAGAGAAAGCAAGCTTCTGTCAGAGAGAGAAACAGAAAGGGTCCCCCTACTGGGTTGCCTCTTTTTTTTGTAGGCATTTTTATAGAGTAAAACTATGAGGTGAAGCAGGTGTAAAATTGGGGAAAACTGGTAATTTGCAAAGTAAACGGGCATGAGGTGGGACAGAACTATGGTCAACCAATAAGTTTAATTCTTTAGGTAAAATTGACCAAATCAGAGACAAATGGGGAAGCCAGTCAGTTTGCAAGGGAGCATTCTTTATGGATCAGTGGTTT